TGAGAGCGCCATTAACTCGGAGAAAATGTGACACCACTTTCTTTTACCTGCAGCCATTATTTTTAAAGCAACACTCAAGTTTTAGCATATTGGAGAAAACATCTAATAACTATGTGTAATATTGGGACAGCTATACAGTTTTAAGAAGTTGACTCAAATTTTGAAGGAATACATGTCTAAACTAATACTTAAAGGTACATCATGGAACTTTTCTAGTAGAACATCTGCCACCTTCGTGTCTCCATAGAAATGTTGCCTTCTTAGCCTGGAATGCATGTTTTTGAAGCTATTTTTGAGCAGTGTCGTCCAGGTAGAACCCATGGCAAGGAGAAAATTCAGTTTGTCGACTGGACAAAAGTTAGTTTGGTTGAAGACGTTTCGCAGCTCATCCAAGCTGCTTCTTCACTTCTGGTCAGACGCTGGTGGACACTTCCTTATATCTGTCTGCAGGGAGGAGCTAACTACACTGAAACTAACACACACACTTGTTTACAGTTTCTGTTTGTTAGTTTGGCCTATTGACCTGTGCAGGGTGTGGGGTCTAATTAGCAGAACAATTCATGGCCATAATGGAGCTCCCACACCTCTGGACCTGACCTGACTACACCTGTTGTTCTCATTTGTTTTGAATTAGGTTTGAGGATGGAGTTGTAAATAGGAGATAGATGGTGTCTGAGTTCATTTCTGTTTAGAGAAGGATTCTCTTTCTTAACAAAAATGGCTTCTTTCACTCCCCTCTCAAACCAATTCTATTCTCTGGCTAAAATCTGTACCTCACTGTCCTCAAATGAGTGGCCTGTGGCTTTGATTTTGTTGAAGGCCTATTTTGGATCTCCACAAACAGAGAGGGCTTTCTGCACATGTTGTTCTTCTTTCTACTTTACCTCTGTGTTTGTAGGCACCACTTGAGCCCTGTGTTGTAGTCTCTGAATAACTCCAAGTTTGTGCTGCAGTGGGTGGTGAGAATCAAAAAGCAGGTACTGGTCCGTGTATGTGGGCTTCCTGAAGACCTCAACCTGGAGTTTCTGGTTTTCTCCTATCATTACTGTACAATCTAAGAAAGCCAATGTGTTGTCCTTGGCATCTTCACAAGTGAATTTGATGTCAGGATCTACAACATTAATATGTGCAGTAAATGGTTCCAAATCTTGAATTTTGATTTTATATCCAAAATGGGCCTTCAACAAAACCAAGAGAACTGAAAAAAAACTGGACAACAGAGAATCAGAACCCAGGAGAAAGGGGGTAACTATTCTGTACATGGCTGGTGTTTCTGAAAAACTGCTGAGGATATTGAGACAACATGAGGTCCCGGTCTATTTCAAACCTACAAACACTTTAAAACAGAGACTGGTCCACCCAAAAGACAAAACACAGAGCCACAAACAAAGCAATGTGCTCTACTCCATTCAGTGCAGTGAAGACTGCAGTGAACGCTACATTAGAGAAACTAAACAGCTACTTCACAAGAGGATGAACCAACACAGACGAGAGAACAGCAGTGGACCTCAGTGAGGACAGTGAGGTACAGATTTTAGACAGAAAGAAAAATTGAGAGGGGATTGAAAGAAACCATTTTTGTTAAGAAAGAGAATCCTTCTCTAAACAGAAACAGAGGCCTCAGACACCATCTATCTCCTATTTACAACTCCATCTTCAAACCTAATTCAAAACAAACAAGAGAACAACAGGTGTAGTCAGGTCAGGTCCAGAGGTGTGGAAGCTCCATTATGGCCATGAATTGTTCTGCTAAATAGACCCCACACCCTGCACAGGTCAATAGGCCAAACTAACTAACAGAAACTGTAAACAAGTGTGTGTGTTAGTTTCAGTTAGTTAGCTCCTCCCTGCAGATATAAGGAAGTGTCCACCAGCGTCTGACCAGAAGTGAAGAAGCAGCTTGGATGAGCTGCGAAACATCTTCAACCAAACTAACTTTTGTCCAGTCGACAAACTGAATTTTCTCCTCTCTATTTTTGAGCAATTAAAAAACCTGAAGTGAAATCAGTTTTAGATGTATCTGAATTTGCAAATAAACCAGCACTAAATTAAGTTTAAACTGGGACAAAACCAGGACTAGTTTTAGTCTCAACGAAACGCAAACACAACAGAACTCTTTTGGATGGAATTACAAAGAGTACAGTGTGAAATATTGCTTCTTAATCATATAGAGGGCCGTAACATTTTTCCAGTTAATTGAGCATTTAGAATATGGATATTATAAACCATTTACAACAATAGGCTTTCTGCAGCCCCCAAGAGCCTCACAAATAAATAGACTCTGATTAAATATAATTAAAGTTGGTGGATATGAGGAAAAACAGAGTCCAGAGAGCTGCAGCCTCCAGGTCTGAACCAGCCAACCATGGACTTCTTCTGTTAGTTTAGTTTTTCTGTTTATGCATTTTGTCCTAACAATAGTAGTAATGAAGCTCTAATATAATGTGAAAGTGTTATTGTTAAGTTAAAAATATTTAGCATCACTATAATAACTACATCTTAATTAACCTTAAAAGCCCTTGCACTAATTTTTTCCCCTATGTATTTGAGCAAAAATATGTTTGGTCCCAGCACAGATACAGTCCCTGACAAAAGTCTTGTCGCTTATCCATTTTGTAGAAACAAAAGCTTATAACCTGACTTTAAATTAATCGACTGGTTTTAGAAATGTCTCATATGAAAGATAAAACCCTCCGAAATTATGCACAATATACTAAAATAAATTTGCTTCACTGAAGAAAGATTGATCATTTAATGAACACAGAAAGGTGAGATTTTGGCAAGACAAAAGTCTTGTGGCCTTGTCATATGATGCACCCAATCCTAGATTACAGCCTCACCTGTGATCAGTTACTGATCAATCAATTAGTGGGTGTGTATAAAAAGAACCCCAGCACACCAGACCTTCACATCAACTGCAACTTGACCTCTGACAACATGTCTAAGATCCACCCTGAGACCAAAGTGTTAATTATCAAGAGGCTGAAGACTAGATCCACTGCTGAGGTGGTGACACCTTCAATGTGTCTCAGCGTCAAGTACAAAGAATAAGAAAAAGATCTGAAATGACTGGAGATGTTTTTGACAAGCCCAGGTCCGGCAGACCCCGCAAGACAACTGCTCGGGAGGACCGTTTGTTGATTCGAAAATCCAAGGCCAGCCCCTTTTCCACTGCAGCAGAGCTCCACCAGGCCTGGTCACCTCAAGTCCCTGTGTCAACCACAACAGTTTGTAGAATTCTGTCTCAAAATGGCCTCCATGATTGAATCAGTGCACAGAAACCAGCACTAAACAAAAGGCAATTAAAAAATTGTGTGGCATTTGCCAAGGCCCACAGCCTGCTAAAAGGATGGACACTGGAAAAGTGGCAGAAGGTGGATTTCTCAGATGAATCCTCGGTTGAATTACATCACAGCCGCCGTAAATATTTCAGGAGACCTACTGGAGCCCGCATGGATCCAAGATTCACCCAGAAAACAGTTAAGTTTGGTGGCGGAAAAATCCTGGTCTGGGGTTACATCCAGTATGGGGCTGTGCGAGACATTTGCAGGGTGGAAGGCAAATATCAATATTCTAAAATATCAAGAAGTATTAGCTCCTCTTACATTCCCAACCATAAAAGGGGTCAAATTTTGCAGCAGGATGGTGCTCCATCACATACTTGTATCTCTACATCAAAGTTTCTCAAGGTGAAGAAGATCAAGGTGCTCCAGGACTGGCCAGCCCAGTCACCAGACATGAACATCATTGAGCATGTCTGGGGTAGAATGAAAGAGGAAGCATGGAAGGCAAAACCAAAGAATCTTGATGAACTCTGGGAGGTATGTAAGACGCTTTCTTTGCTATTCCTGATGACTTCATCAACAAACTGTATGAATCATTGTTGAACCGCATGGATGCGTCCTTCAAGCTCATGGAGTCATACAAGATATTAAATATGGATCTCACAGCACCACTACTTTCTGTAGGTGACAAAACTTTTGTCTTGCCAAAATATGACATTTCTGTGTTCATTAAATGATCAATCTTTCTTCAGTGAAGCAAATTTATTTTAGTATATTGAGCATAATTTGGGAGGGTTTTAGCTTTCATATGAGACATTTCTAAAACCAATGGATTAATTTAAAGTCAGGTTATAAGCTTTTGTTTCTACAAAATGGATAAGCGACAAGACTTTTGTCAGGGACTGTATAGTGCACAAGCAGCTCTTGTGCACTCTATCTATTTTATTGTCCAATAACCAGGAATTGTGCATTGTTGCATGCTAGCTGTTGTTAGCTTTACCATGGTAGCTTTACCACTGCAAACCCTTTAACTGGAACTAGTTGTGTTTTTCACATTTATAAGATAGCAAAAATTAGCCTTTGATAAAACCAAGCCCTAAAACCTCATTTGTGTCATTTGTTTGTCCCAATATATAAACATTTAATGTCACACTGAGGACATTCCAGGCATGGCAATAACATTTCTTTATGGACAAGCAGGTGGACAATCCCCTCCCCAAAAAGTGCACCTTTAACAGTGCACTTACCTCCTCATAAACATATCCAGGGTTGTGTTTTGTTTCATTCACATGTTTGAGTAAACTTTTATTATTATTCTGTCTTCATCTCCAAAGCTCAAAATGCTCTCTTCCACCTTGTGATGTCATTAAGTGGTAGTTTTCTAGTTTACCAATACCTGTGTTTGGAGTTTAAAAACAAAGTAAAGAACTTCCTGTATCACCACATGACATCACAAGGTGGAACAAAAGGTTTTCCGTTTGACAGAAGAACTCAGCCTAAATATACAGGGTTTGTGTGTTAAACATGTGTGAATGAAACAAAACACAACTCCATGTCTGTCTGTGATGAAGAAACAATATTAGAACAAAGATCACAAAATAGCGTATCGGCCCTTTAAGTACAATTAGTGACCACTCCCCACACCTCTGGCTTATTATGACTGTATAATTGAACTATTTTGACAAACTAACTCCCCTCAGTGTAACTCCTCCTCACCAGCAGTTCAAGCAGCTCTGGCCTGGTGTCTCGTCTTTGGCGTCTGGACCTGGAGCGGGGAGGGGTGGAAGGAGCATCCAAGAACAGTTTATCATCCTGGAGAGTGTTGACCGTACAGCGCACCTCCCCCACAAACGCCTGGGCCTCGTGAGCCGTCATCGCCCGGGAGAAACCACGGCCCTGTGGGAAAGAACATGTGGAGATCAGATTTAGTCTTCATTTATTATAAAGATGGACAGCACAAACAAACAGAGATCAAAATCATTATTTGAGTTTGATAACTGGACCTGCAAAAAAAACTGCCTATGCAAAAATCTTGTTCTACCTGTAGTTAATAGTTGACAAAAAACACGTTATGTAACTTTTCTGGTGGAGGGTCTGTCAAATACTTTTCTCCACAGAGATGTTATTGCTTTGTCTGGAATGTTTCACAGTATAGCATTAAACCTTTCTATCTACATGGAGACCAAACCAGACCAAGTTACTGGGCAGATCTGTGGAAAGGCGACCCCGCTCACAGTCAGAATACCTGTTTTTCTAGGTATGTTTGAGTTCTAAAACTACCTGTAACTGAATAAACGTAAGGTAGAGCTGTTTGATATCGTACTGTAGAACAGATGTGTCAAACTCAGGCCCGGGGGCCAAATTTGGCCCGTAAGATGATATCAAATATGTATTAGAGCTGGCCCACCAGCTACAGATAGGCTATAGAGACATTATTTATTTAAAATGTTGTTAATATTTTTTATATTCTGCTTGTTCTGGATTCAATGTTTAAGCAAAACTATTATTAAACATTTATTTTAATAAGAAAATGTTCAACATTACATATTTCAAAAGAAGAGAAAACATGCAGATGTTGTTGACATTTTTCAATAAATATTTAGTTTGGCCCACGACTCCCAGTTTTTAATTTCAGCCCTCTGTGTATTTGAGTTTGACACCCCTGCTGTAGAACATTCAAAGCAGAGCAGTGAAGTATCTATAGAAACAAGAAGGTGATGTATAGTATTAGTATTTGATTTTGGATACTTTTGACAACCTTTGTGAAAAGCTCTACAAACATTCTGAAATGCAAGATGTTCCTGTATTTGTTCATATTTCAGTCTGAAATGTGAATGCTCTTGGAGTTGTGTACAGTGTGCTGAGCAGGATCCTACTTTTTAAACATGTATTTCAAAATTGCAATTAGAGTTTTCTTCCAAAATCATGCAGTCCTAATTTATGATAAAAAAAGGCAAAACCCAGACTGAGTTTTAAAAGTAGAAGTTGCCAGATACATTTATTACTCCCTGAGATTGTAAACAGAACTGAAAAAAGAACTTTCCACGTGAGGCCATTTCTAATAAACCAAAACTAACACACATCTGGTCTACGGTTCAAATAAAATCACACAAATTTGGGACTGAATATGAAGCTAAGACAGGACTAGACCAGAAAGAAAATAGGACTATAATAGGACTAGAATAGGACTAAACCAAGACTAAACCAGGACTAAACCAGGAAGAGAACAGGACTAGAACAGGACTGAACTAGGACTAGACCAGGATGAGAACAGAACTAGACCAACACTAAACCAGGACTAGGCAAGTACTAGACCAGGACTAGACCAGGACTGAACCAGGACTAAACCAGGACGAGAACTGGACTAGAACAGGACTAAATCTGGACTAAACCAGGTCTAAACTAGGACGAGAACTGAATTAGAACAGGACTAGATCAGGACTAGATCAGGGGCCTCATTTATAAAGCTTGCTTACGCAAAAATCCGTGCGTGCGCGCTTCCTACGCCAACCGCGGTATTTATAAAACTCGCCTAAGGTCCCGAGTTGGCGTAGAGTTAAGCAAAGAGCCTTTGCTTAACTCTACGCCAACTCGGGACCTCCTGTAAGTTCTACGCAAAGTCTGGAGACACGGGGAAAAAGCGACACTCGTGGAGAGAACTCTGTTCACTTCTGCCTCTCTCCACGAGTGTCGCTTTTTCCCCGTGTCTCCAGACTTTGCGTAGAACTTACAGGAGGTCCCGAGTTGGCGTAGAGTTAAGCAAAGAGCCACGCCTTCGGCGAGTTTTATAAATACCGCGGTTGGCGTAGGAAGCGCGCACGCACGGATTTTTGCGTAAGAAAGCTTTATAAATGAGGCCCCAGGACTAGACCAGGACTAGAACAGGACTAAATCTGGACTAGACCAGGACTAGAACACGATTAGAACAGGACCAAGACCAAAATCTACATCAGGACTAAACTAAAAAAGTGGAAAGTAGGACAAACTGTAGTGGCTATACTGGATTGATCCCGTCAGATCTCAGAAGCTCAGCAGGGTCAGGCCTGGTTAGGACTTGGATGGGAGACCACTGGGAAAAATTAGGTGCCACAGGGGGGCGCCAGTTGTAAAAAACTGTTGTTGTGTCCTTAGGCAAGTCACTTCACCCTCATTGCCTAGTATGAAAGTGGTGTGTGCGTGAGTGTTGGTGGTGGTCGGAGGGGCCAATGGCGCAGATTAGCAGCCTCGCTTCCATCAGTCTGCCCCAGGGCAGCTGTGGCTACAATAGTAGTTTACCACCACCGGGTATGGAGTGAATGAATAATGCTCTGTAAAGCGTCTTTGAGTGTCCAGAACAGTGTTATATAAAACTGATGCATTATTATGATTATTACAAAACCCACTTGAAGAAGCCAATGTACAACTTATGTCCCAGCACCACACTTTGAGAATCAGAACCAAATCAAGACCTCAAAGATCCTGCAAATATTTGAAAATTTGAACATTTTGAGATTTTTAAAAGTTTGATTTCAGAGTTTATTTACATGACTGATACGTATTAAATTAAATGATTAAATGAAAGATGAACCAGTTTTTGTATAAAACTGAAGGTTGTACTCAGAGACCAATTACATTTGATCAGTAGTTTGTGCACAAACAAAGCCCCCACTGAAAACTCAGCAGCCACACATTCTACAAAGTTAATTACAATTGGAAATCTATTAGCAGTCTTTTTTTTTTTTAAAGTACATAAAAAACTATTCAAATCAAAGTCACCTCCAAAGCAGAAACAAAACTGAAGAAATCGTAGCAGCAGACATAAATTACCTACAAATGATCAACCTTTAGAATAAATATTTAAAATTTTCAGTATCACGATTTACTGCTCCTAAATACACTGCTCTACTGCATTAGTAATATACACAACATCTAAACTGACAGTCTAAAACATGTAAACGAGACCTTAGTATTTAGGCACATGCAGTGTACACAATAAGAGCTCCTAATAGACTTGAACCAGGACTGAGCCAGGACTTAAACACCAAAACACATCTAAACCAGGTCTAAATCGGGTCCAGTCCGAGTCTAAACCATTTTTAAACCATTTCTAAACCAGGTCTACACCAAGACTACCCCAGGACTACCCCAGGACCACACCAGGACCACACCAGGACCACACCAGGACTACCCCAGGACCACACCAGGACCACACCAGGACCACACCAGGACTACCCTAGGACTACCCTAGGACTACCCCAGGACCACACTAGGACCACACCAGGACCACACCAGGACTACCTCAGGACTACCCCAGGATCACACCAGGACTACCCTAGGACTACCCTAGGACTACCCCAGGACCACACCAGGACCACACCAGGACCACACCAGGACCACACCAGGACCACACCAGGACTGAACAAGGAGTTAAGCAGAAGTAAAAAGGCCTAAACAGGGGGATATTCCACGTAGTGAGCTAAAGTGAAAGCTTGGTTTATTTGGGCAATTCAGGCCTGTCAAAGCCTTAGTTCTGTTCAACCAAAGTGACTAACCAGAGGTCACGCTGAGGTCCTGCAGTAACAAGTACCCAGGCACAAACCAGGTGAGGACCAGACTAACTGTCAAGATTATTTTAGTTCTGTCTTCAAGAGCTTCTAAAGAAACAGTTTAGTCAAAAGTTTCAAAAGCACATGCATCACACACCTGTGTTAGAACATGTCTATGTTTGATATAGTCTAAAAAGTGACTTTTATAGTCATGTGTCGCTTAAGACTTTTACAGTCCATACACTCCTGCACACGGGACACACGTGTGTGTGGATGCTGCACTATCAAAAATGCACAAACCATTTAAAAGCCTATGGTGATTATTTCATTCAAATGATGTTGCACATGTGTCTGTTGTGAGGGGCAGTGCAGCTTTTACACACAGACAGACGCTGGTTTGGGGTCTGAGGATGACAGTAGGTTCTGTCTGTTTGCTCCGTCATCATCCAGTTCCATGGCTCAAATCAAACTCTGCAGGTGCACGCTGTGGCTCCAGTGGCTCCTGTCGTTTAATCAAATCATAAAAAACATAAAATTTTTGGCCCATTTTCCCGTGACGTTGCTCCATTGATTCAGGCCTGAATTAGCTTTGGTCAGTTAGCTTATATCTGTCAAGGAATGAGTTAAGGTGGAAATGGACTTAAGGGGGAAATGGAGCTAGTTTCAGCTCAGGATTTCACAATAGGCCTAGACTTGTTAAGCAAGATTGATGGAACATCCTCCAGACTTCTAAACCAGGTCTAAACCAGGTCTAAAGCAGAACCTAGGTTTAACCTAGACTTGACTTGAACATAACCTGGACTTAAACAAAAGTCTAACTCTCCATTGTGTTCTCCCAGTGTAACACCAAAAACTACAAGATGTGAGTCATTTATTTCCTAGTTAACACTTACAGTAATGTGCTAAAGAGCTTATTTTAAATGTTTCTCTGTGGGAGCCAGAAGTGATTAAAGACACTGGAATTATGCTTTCGCAACTTTCATCGAGTTATTTCGGAATCGCTCCCGACCCACTCACAAGTGGAATAATACACATTACACAAAAACGCAATGTTCTTAATATATTTTACATATAGAAAAAGCTGAAATTAAATTACAAACAACAACTACTTTCTAATAAATGTCTAGTTTTCCCAAATGCTTCTCCTGGTCTAAGCACATTCACCAACACACACAATAGACAAACCTCATTTCAATGCCAATTACTCCAGCATTATTGTGCTATGTGGTAATTCTGTGGCGTGCATATTTATTTATATAGAGACTTGTTTTGTGAAGTAAATAGGGGCCAATTCAAATGCCTGGTTCCAGCCCATTGACCCAGTCATAAGCCAATATATTAAATCCTCTCTATTTGCATACGCTTTGTTTTTCTCCGCTCTTGGTAATGAGCAGCTCAAGTCAACTCGTGTAGAGCGTTTAAACAAGTCCGTGTTCCCCGTTCATTTGAGCTAAACAGGAACTTTCTCTTAAATTAAAAATGTGTTTCATTTAAGAGAAATTTACAAAACTTTGTGATAATTTTAAATGGGGATTATGGAGCAGTAAGTCACAAAATTAAATGTGAGTTTATTATGGGAAGAAACATTATTATTGTACCATTATTTACAATTATTGACCCCATGACCACACAAGGGTGAAATACTCAGCAGTCCTATATTACAGAAAATGAGCTTTTTGTGCGCTTTTAGTCAAAATTTTGAATGTTTCATCAAAAGCATCCCTGGAGTCTACAACTACAACTACAACTACAACTACATCTAAAACTATAACTACAACTATAACTACAACTACATCTAAACTAAATCTACTACAACTACAATCTAAAACTATAACTACAACTACATCTAAAACTAAAACTATAACTACAACTACATCTAAAACTATAACTACATCTAAAACTACAACTATAACTACAGCTACATCTAAATCTAAAACTACAAGTATAACTACAACTACATCTAAAACTACAACTACAACTACAACTACAAGAAACTGATGCTGAACACCAGTCTCTTGTTATTTTTGCTACTTATTTAGAATGTAATATTACCGTTTATATTTTTGCTCTTTGCTATTAAAATATATTGGGATGTGTGAGCTACTGTGTCCAAGTCATTTCCCATGAGTCTGAGTCTGAGTGTGAGCATGAGTCTGAGTCTGAGAGTGAGCGTAAGTCTGGGTCTGAGCATGAGTCTGGGTCTGAGTCTGAGAGTGAGCGTGGGTCTGAGTCTGAGTCAGAGAGTGAGCGTGGGTCTGAGTCTGAGAGTGAGCGTGGGTCTGAGTCTGAGTCTGAGTCTGAGTCTGAGTCTGAGAGTGAGCGTCTGGAGTCTGAGAGTCTGAGCGTGGGTCTGAGTCTGAGAGTGAGCGTGGGTCTGAGTCTGAGAGTGAGCGTGGGTCTGAGTCTGAGAGTGAGCGTGGGTCTGAGTCTGAGAGTGAGCGTGGGTCTGAGTCTGAGTCTGAGAGTGAGCGTGGGTCTGAGTCTGAGAGTGAGCGTGGGTCTGAGTCTGAGAGTGAGCGTGGGTCTGAGCGTGAGTCTGAGTCTGAGTCTGAGTGTGAGCATGAGTCTGAGACTGAGCGTAAGTCTGGGTCTGAGCATGAGCATGAGTCTGAGTCTGAGTCTGAGCATGAGACTGGATCTGAGTCTGAGTCTGAGAGTGAGCGTGAGACTGGGTCTGAGTCTGAGCGTGAGTCTGGGTCTGAGCGTGAGTCTGGGTCTGAGCGTGAGTCTGGGTCTGAGCATGAGTCTGAGTCTGAGAGTGAGCTTGAGTCTGGGTCTGAGAGTGAGTCTGGGTCTGAGTCTGAGTCTAAGAGTGTGCATGGGTCTGGGTCTGGGTCTGGATCTGGGTCTGAGTCTGAGTCTGAGCGTGAGTCTGGGTCTGAGTCTGAGTGTGTGTATGTTGGACTGACCGTGACAATGATGATGCTGGCCTCGGTGATGACCTTCTTGCTGATGTTGTTGAAGGTGGGGTTGGGGTGGTACTCAAACGGTTTGAGCTCTCGGACCCAGTTGTCCAGCTGGATGAAGGTGGTGAAGTGTCCTCCAGAGGCGTTCACGGCTGGAGATGAAAACTGGATCATGGAGTCATTCTTCTCACGGTACCTCTGGAACCAGGAGATAAGAGAAATTTTTAAAAATGTATAGAAGACATTTAAGACACACTTTAACCAAGAGAAATTGTTAGTTTTAGAAATTATTTATAATGCTGAAAATTCAACTGACAGCAAATGTATGAATGAATGAAATGAACAATATGCATTTCATTTATAGGCAATTTTCAAAATCTGTTTTACATTTTTATTCATTACACAAATAAAATATCCCAGTCTGGATAAATGACAAGACCAGTGTAATCTTACATCTATTAACATATCCTTCTATAATGCACATTGTGTTTTGATGACATGGATACAGGAATTTTTATCAGTGATTTAACTTTTTTGTTCCTCATCAATTTTCACTTGACAGGAGTAGAACTAGGAAGAATATTTTCCATAAGTAACATCCACCAAACATTTTCGTCTGCTTATCCGGGGCCGGGTGGCGGGGGCAGCAGCCTAAGCAGGGACTCCCAGACTTCCTTCACCCCAGACACGTCCTCCAGCTCCTCCGGGGGAACCCCGAGGTGTTCCCAGAACAGCCGAGAGACATAGTCCCTCCAGCGTGTCCTGGGTCTTCCCTGGGGCCTCCTCCTGGTGGGACATGCCCGAAACACCTCCCGAGGGAGGCGTCCAGGAGGCATCCGGAACAGATTCCCGAGCCACCTCAACTGGCTCCTCTCGACGTGGAGGAGCAGCGGCTCTACTCCGAGCTCCTCCCGTGTGACTGAGCTCCTCACCCTATCTCTAAGGGAGTGCCCAGACACCCTGCGGAGAAAACTCATTTTGAGCGCTTGTATCCGCAATCTCGTCCTTTCGGTCATTACCCAGAGCTCATGACCATAGGTGAGAGTAGGAATGAAGACTGACCGGTAAATCTTCACCACAACGGTCCCATACAGCGACCGCATCACTGCCGAAGCTGCACCGATCCGCCTGTCAATCTCACGTTCCATCCTTCCCTCACTCGTGAACAAGACCCCAAGATACTTGAACTCCTCCACTTGAGGCAAAGACTCCCCACCCACCTGGAGAGGGCAAGCCACCTTTTTCCGGTCGAGAACCATGGCCTCAGACTTAGAAGAGCTGATCTTCATCCCAGCCACTTCACACTCGGCTGCAAACCGCCCCAGTGCACATTGCAGGTCCTGGTTTGATGAAGCCAACAGGACAACATCATCTGCAAACAGCAGATATGAGATCCTGTGGTCCCCAAACCGGACCCCCTCCGGCCCCTGACTGCGCCTAGAAATTCTGTCCATAAACACAATGAACAGAACCGGTGACAAAGGGCAGCCCTGGCGGAGTACAACATGCACCGGGAACAGGTCTGACTTACTGCCGGCAATGCGAACACAGCTCCTGTTCCGGTCATACAGGGACCGGACAGCCCTTAGAGAAGGGCCCCGGACCCCATACTCCCAGAGCACCCCCCACAGGACACCACGAGGGACACGGTCGAATGCCTTCTCCAAGTCCACAAAGCACATGTGGACGGGTTGGGCAAACTCCCATGAACCCTCGAGCACCCGATGGAGAGTGTAGAGCTGGTCCAGTGTTCAACGGCCAGGACGAAAACCACACTGCTCTTCCTGGATCCGAGGTTCGACTATCGGCCGGATTCTCCTCTCCAGTACCCTGGCATAGACCTTACCGGGAAGGCTGAGGAGTGTGATCCCCCTATAGTTGGAACACACCCTCCGGTCCCCCTTCTTATACAGAGGGACCACCACCCTGGTTTGCCAGTCCAGAGGTACTGTCCCCGAACGCCACGCAATGTTGAAGAGGCGTGTCAGCCAAGACAGCCCCACAACATCCAGAGACTTAAGGTACTCAGGACGGATCTCATCCAACCCCGGAGCCTTGCCACCAAGGAGCTGTCCAACCACCTCAGTGACCAGGGTGATGCACCACACAAAGTTACAATTTGAAAAAACCTCCCATATATACTTTATATAGTACCGGTACTGAGTTGTATCCATGCATTTCTTAATACATTTTGATTTGCACTTTTTCTGATTTTGTGCCTTTTTGTATCAAGTATCAAAATATTTGAGAAAAGGAAAGCCCTAAAGTGAAAATATGGCACAGTATTAGAGATGGAAATTGCAGTGTGGGTGTTGAGAAAGCCTGCATTTCTCTCTGAGTGGAGTTTGGAACCCGGTCGTCACAATGGGCCAGTCTATAGACATGTTGTGTTGGAGCTGCTGTGTCTGTGATGAATCAGAACACTGTATTCAGTCCCTGCACCTCTGGCTTTGTTTACGTCCTCTGATCGGCTACATACACTGACACTGTGGAAGCACGGATCCATGGAAATGAATAGACAACTTTGAATAAGGTCTTTTGTGGATTTTTATCAGTCGACATCCAACAAATAGTCTCTTTATGCAACATTATGTAACTCGCCAAACTGTATTCTCAATAAAACGCTGTATTCACAACATCGCTTTCAAGTGGTAAATATGAATTTAAGCAAAACAACTTAACCAAGCTTCTATGCAAATGGATTATATTTTAAGGCCATCTATCTGAATTGTATTTCGTCTGTACAAAATAGAAAATACTGCAGGACAACTTAGTTTATGCATTTTGAAGTGAGTACCCTATACAAGTAATTTAACTGTGACTGTCTTTGTGTCCATTACGACTCTTGTTTGGCTACATTTCTTTAAAGTAAAACACAGGGACATAGTACTATACTCTACAATAGCAGTAAAACAGACTGACGCCTCACAGCAGAACTGCCCAGTCATGTTCTGGTGTGGTTTGTGTGCCACAGAAACACACTGCAAATAAAATAGTCTCTGCTATTACTGCATTTCAAATGACACAACAGCATTCTATATACCAATATTAATTAACACAGATGGGAATAGCTAACATTAATATTGTTAAAATGCAAAAGTATGTTGTAATACAGTGAGTTCTTAGGAACTCACTAGTCAATAATTGAAAATACTAGGTTCAAAATTTTTGAGTTTATCTTTTGGATATTTCATGGCAAAATACAATGTAATCAATAGGGAAACCAGGTCCTTGCCCCCCATTTGGGAGTAAGTAGAGGTGAGATCGGGCCTAAAAAATCCAGCCCGACCCGGCCCGCGGGTATTAAAACCCGACCCAGCCTGAGCCCGACCAATTAACTTGATTTGCAGGCCCGAGCCCGAAGCAAACCCGAAATGTCATATTTTATTTGTGAGGACTCAGGAGGAGGAGCAGTGCTCAGCGTCGAGGTGCCAGTCTTTTTGATCTCGTATGAAAGCAAAGCGCCACATTGACTACATTCAGCGAAGCCAACGCAAGTTTCTGTAGCATTTTCAACAATCAATTTGAAGCTTTTCCACACCTCACTCTTACCGGTGCGTGTTTGTCTTTTCAGTTCTCCTGCCTTTAGTTTAACTTCTTGCTCCTCCATATTGGGGATACCAGGTCAAAATAGATGCAGACTTGCGGAGGGGAAGATTATTAAATTAAGAGGGGGTGTTCACGTGCGCAGAGCTCTGGCTCTGCGGATCCTGTTTAGTAGTTAAATAGCAATTACATTACATTACTTCTCTGTTTTATCCATATTATTTATTTTATAACAAGTATTCCTTAGTTTAGTATCCACACATCGTTTTAGCATACATTTTATAAACATATATTTATTTGAAGCCCGAGCCCGACCCGACCCGAAGTAATGATTGATATTTTAGGTCGGGTCGGGCTTGGGCTCGGTCTTAAGATCTTACCTCTAGGAGTAAGAAATCACATTCTGAAAACCACCAGTTGTTTATTTAATATGATTTGATGAAATAAAGGTTTTACTATGTATTGGTTGTTTTCAGATTCTAGAATGTGATGATACTTCCAGATGAAGGGCAAGAGCCAGTTTTTCTTTTAATTACACTGTTCTTTGCCATGAAATAAAGAAAAGGTAAATTCCAAAATATGGAATCTAATCATTTTTCTTAATGTCTAGGCTCAGGACCATGCTATATTACAACAGAAATCTGCAGTTGAAGCTTTTTATTTTAGCTGCCCCCCCCATCTGTATTAAACAATATTGCCCTATATATAATAATGCCATCTGAAACTCAGAAATTAGACAGTGTGAACAAAGGATTTCACTAAATCAGAGCTGGGATAATAATGGAGACAACGAAAAAGTCAGTGTTTCTCCTCCCAGTATTTATAAAACAAACATTTGATTTGGGGATGTGACTAATTTGTGCTTTAATCTGGTGTACACAGATCTTCACTGAGATGAAGGTCCTTTGCCACAGTAAAGAGAGGCCCAGAGCCGTGCCATGACCCCTCAGCCTGATTGGATTCAGATTCAGAAAACTTTATTTGTTCCAGAGGGCAATTCATCTGCAGCATTCTCAGAATATTTCTCACATACACATAAACACAAACACTGTAATGGACAAAACAACAATATATAATAATGCAAAATGCAGGTGGAGTGGCCTCCCTGATCTGAACCCATGCGGTGTTCTGTTACTGAACTTCTGTGCTAGTCACAGTTTGTCCATAACAAACACCATGTTCCAGCACAAGGGTGTCCATCACTGCACATGGCAACAGGACACCCTAGGCTGAAGGTCGATGATTGACTTTGTCATCGTGTCATCTGATTTCCAGCTGCGTGTCTTGATCACTCGGGTGAAGAGAGGCAGAGCTGTCAACCAATCACCACCTGGTTGTGAGTTGGGTTCGCTAGCCTCGGAGGAAGCCGGAAAGACCTGGCAGGCTCAAGCGTGTAGTAAGGGTCTGTTGGGAACGTCTGTTGGGATGCTCTGGGAGTATGTTAAGGGTTGTCCAGTCCCTGTATGACCAGGGTCAGAAGACATTCTGGCATGGAAACATGCGGATGACGACTTCCTGTGGGCTCTGTTGGCGATGTGACAAAATCGATGTGAGAAAATTTTATTTTATTTCATTGTATTCTTTCTTTTTACTTTTATAAATTGTCTATTTATTTATGTATAATTTGTCTAATTTAAATTAAAAAAAAGATGCCATTGTAGCATCCGTTATGTTTGGTAGATCAACAGTTCCAATCAACTCCCTGTAAGTGACATCGAAAACACGATTAGAGTCCTGTCCCCCACGGAAAGTTTTGGCAGGTTCAGGTGAATCCATGATTTTATCACATGCCCAGTGTCGGGAACTACACCAGAAGTCGTCATCTGCATGTTTCCAGATATCTTCTGGTAAGCGTGAATAGAGCCTTTATTGGACTGAGAGAAAGGAGGAGGTGGGCAGACAGTTCAAACTCAACCATGTTCCTCACTCATGGTTAAAAATTCAGATACAGGATCTTTTATTTCACTTGTCATTTCTGAATGACATATCTCTTGTTTGACTCTACATAATAATAATTACAGTGCAGACATTGGTTAAAGACTTAAAGGTGTACTTAGTAACATTTCTAAGGGGGGTCCGCCACTGGCTTGTCTCCATGGATATGTTACTGTTTTGTCTAGAATATTCCATCGTATAGCTAGTAGCTATACTAAAGCATTAGTCCACTGATCCGGAGGTTGGTGGTTTGAATCCCGCTCTCAACATGAACATCATTTTTTAAGGCGGTCAGATCCACTGACCCACAGGTTGATGGTGCTTCCACAGATCAATACTTTTGTTCTGTCCTTGAGCAAGACACTTAACCCACCTCACCCCCAGTGTCTATGTGTGTGAATGGGTGAGTGGTTCTTTGTTGTAAAGTACTTTGAGCCTTGAGGGTGGAAAAGCACTGTATAAAAATGTGACCATAACCATTTAAACCTATCTATCACAAGCGAGACAAGCAGGTTACAGCACTACACTACATTTATCACGCCGGTAAATTGGACTCAAATGCAACACAAGTACACAGGCAAACAAAGTCTTATTTAAATAACTGAAAGGAAATGTTTATAATGACAGCTCAGACTGAAAATATAACAGAGGAATATATGATATTAAATGTGAACAAAAATATCTTCCAAGACTGGGAATACACTAGTAAAAAACTGACTGGGAGTAAACTCAGGAACAGGGACAGCAAACAGGGAAACACAGAATTGCAGAGGTCACAAGGTTTTTGGAGCTTGAGTGTCTGTCTTTACAAGTTGACAATCTGTTGACTTAGGGAGCAGAGGGAGTATATATAGACTGGGCCTGGGCTGATTACAAAATGAGAGGCAGCTGTAGGAAAAGGAGGACCTGAACAGAGTGAGAAATGGAACTGGACTGGGGGAAAACAAGTAAACAAAAGGCAGAACTGTGACAACATTACATTAGAAGTCAGATCTGTGGAGAGGCGCCCCTATTCACATTTTTGTGTTTTTAAGCAAAGGAAACACATAACATAATTAATAAATGCTAGATGGATAAGTTTAATGTCATACCATGGCCATACCAGCTTGTCAAAGCCTGATCCCGTCAGATCTCAGAAGCTCAGCCGGGCCTGGTTAGGACTTGGATGGGTAGGATGGGAGACCACTGGGAAAATCACGTGCCAGAAGGGGGCGCCAGTTGCAGAAAACAACCTGTCCTGTAATTTACCACCTCTGGGTATGAAGTGAATGAATAATGCTCTACAAAGCATCTTTGAGTGTCCAGAAAAATGCCATATATAAACGGATGCATTATTATTATTATTATTATTATTATTATTATTATTATTATTATTATTATTATTATTATTATTATTATTATTATTATTATTATTATTATTATTATTGAACATTCCAGGCAAAGCAAAAACATCTCCATAGAGACAAGCAGGCACCAGAAATTTATGGTAAATTATTAGTATACGTTTTCTGGAGTTAGTGTACAATACAGTTTAGATTGATCAGTAAAATGAAATGTAAAAAAAAAGTACATCTGCTAACCACTCTGCCATTAACGCCCCATAAAACCAGCTTCCCCTACTTCACTTTGGACATGCACCTGTCCATTGCCTGATTGGCATTTTAATCAGGCTCTCTATAGGCTACACCAGTCCACAATTATCCACATTTACTGGGGCTCAGTTGAGAGCAGAGTCTTTAAACTGTGGCGTGTGGAGGCTTAAGAAGTTGACCATGCCAGCTTTTGGAGATAACATTTAACATCTGGTGTAGGAGTGTGTGCCAGCTGCCACACTGAAGCCCGGGTCCCTGGGAGCCGCTTAAGGGCCCCGCGTTGGCACAGGCAGGAGAGGTAAATACCAACAAACACTTCATCTGTAGCACCAAGCATTTTCTTATTAGTTTTAGAGCTTAAAAGCTGAAAGTCCTTTACACCTGGGGTAAGTGTGGACTACTTTTTTTTTGCAAAGGTGGTGTTTTTGTTGTGAAGAAACTTTTGCATTTAAATTAAAATGTTTTAATTTGAAGCCAGGTAAACAGCTTGCCATTTGGTATAGTTAGAGGTTGATGGTTGGTTGATTTTGAACTGTCGTCCTGGTTTAGTCCTGACCTAGTCCTGATCTGGTTCAGACCTCATTTTGGCCAAGTGTTGGTTTAGTCCAGGTTTAGTCCCGACCTATTTCTAGTTTAGTCATGGTTTAATCCTGGTTTAGTCCCGACATAGCTTGGTCCTGACCCAGTTTTAGCCTAGTTCTGGTTTGGTCTGGGTTTAATTCAGGCTTTGTCCTGGTTTGAGAAGAAGTTTTGAAGCCATTTTTCTTATTTAGTTACTATTTTATTTGGGTTACATCCTGCGTAACTGAGCTCTAAAATATATTGTAATTAAATCTACATGTGAGCAGTAGCAATGATTTAAGTAATGTATTAAATTATTTATTGAAAAAAAAAAAAAAATTACCGCTACATTTTAGCTTTCTACACATAAAATGTTCAATTATTTTAGCACTTCATATCCTGTGTTTGGTGTAAAAAATTATTTTCTGTCAGTCTATTAGAAATCACAATTCAATGTATTACTATTGTTTTCTTTGCAGTCCTACTGGTTAAGACTTTAGTCCTGGTTTATAACTGGTTGAGTTCACATTTGGTCCTGGTTTAGATCTGATTTAGTCCATGTTCATTGAAGTTAGTCTCCGCCTAGACCTGCTTTAGAAAATGTTTTGTAATTACACTGAAAAGCACTAACCTCACTGCTCTGTTTAGTTA